GCTAGCGGTCACAAGAGCTCAAACTTTCCCATGATGCCACAGCAGCTTCTCCCATCCCACCCACCCATCTGTGAGGGGACCTTGCCATTCTGCCCTTGGGAAATGGGGTCTAGTGTCTCACTCTTGTCCCTTTCAATCTGGCTGGACTCTGGGTTCACTCACGCTCAGGAGACCATAGTGAATTACGATTAATAAAATATGGCAGAAGGGACCCAGCGACGCTGCAAAAGCCCAGGTGGCCTCCACCTGCTTCCACCAGCACCATCTGAGAGTGCCACCTGCTCTGCCTCGCTGCAGACCCCAGGTGCAGACATCGGGGAGCAAACCCCACAGGCCCCTAACCCCCAGCTGTCCCGGGCACTCAGCCCAGCCTGACCTGCAGATGACGGAAGCCCCAGCCCACGTCCTGAGAAATTCTATGGGTGTCAACCCAGGGGAGCCCTCCCTGAATTCCTAGTACATAGATAGAACAATTGTTGTGCTCTATGCCTGTGACTGGGGTGATTTGTTACACAGCAGTGGTGACCAGTGCATCATTACTGAGCTATGAGCGTAAATGCACCTGAAAAGACTAAAGATCTGGGAGTATTTTCTAATCATTGCAGAACACCCAAAATACCTACGTCCTCTTCCTGGCTGTTTTAAGGGATCGGGAGGAGAGTTTATTGAAGGGATTACCTGGGGAGGCATTCGAGGCTGTGGCAAGGGACCTGTACATTTAAGCAGCTGTGTGGAGTCATGAAGAGAAATCTCACCTGAGCCTCAGAGCCAGCGTTAGTGCACAACCTCCACCTGGGCCCACTTCGTCCTGGAACTCCTGGGCCTGGGACCCACCTGTTTGCCTCCGGTGAGCACCAATATGTGATGGCCACAATGGCAGGTGCTGTCCCAGCTGTGTCCCATTGTCCCTTCACGTGGGAACCGCCAAGAGGGCTGCAGCTGCCAAGCCAGGAAGGTTCCCAGCTGGCCGTTCCCACCTCCTCTGGGGGACCCCTGAGAGCTCAGGGCCCGGCCAAGAGCAGCCCCCAGAGCAGTTTCCAGCAGCTGCTGCCCCGACTCTGCAGTGTGCCCTGGCTGCCGTCCTTCCTGCAGCAGTGTGCAGACAGAGCCACTTCACTTCGACTCTGCTAGCAGGGGGCCGGACAGCAACCACCACCACCTCAGGGTGGCTTCTCCCTGTCTGTCTGTCCCACAGTCCTGTCCTCAAGTCAGGGAAACAAGCAGGAGACGCAGAAGCAACAGAGCTCAGTTCCAGGGTGGGTCACACAGGACCGTGCAGTTACATCTCATTTTCTGCTTTATTTGTCTGTTTGGGGTGCATAATAATTCACTCACTGTGGGCAATTTCTCTCTATATATAGCACCCCTCCACCCTTTCCCTGACCCTCTTTACCTCCAAAAAGCCTAGCTCTCTGTTTCCTACCATCTGTCCTTTATCTTACTCTTTCATTTATTTATATTTTAGGTTTCTCCTAATAAGAGAAACCATATAATAATCTTCTGAGTCTGACTTATTTCACTTAACATTATGGTCTACAAATGACTTGAATTCATCTATTTTTTGAGCAGGGTCTCGCTATGTAGTTCAGGCTGGCCTTCAACTCACTGTGTAGCCCAGGCTGGCCTCAAACTTGTGGCGACCCTCCTGCCTCAGTCTCCGAGTGCTGGGGTTATAGGTATGTGCCACTCTACCTGGCTCTTTTTTATGGCTCGTATATATAAGATACATCTTTTTCCTTTATCCACTCGCCTGTTGATGGGCATCTGGGTGACTCCAGAGTGGAGCTATTGTGAACTGCAGGCTGTACACATGGATCACTGTAACATGATATCTTTACCTCCTTTGGGAAGAAACCCAGAGACGTCTACCTGGGTCAAGGTGAATTTCTGTGTTTGGTTTTTGAACGTCTCCATCCTGAGCTCCACGGCGGTTGTCCGAGTTCACCCTCCCACCAGCAGGGCAGAGGGCCAGAACTCGTGTTTGCATTTTGGTGATTGCCCTTCCTACAGTCCCCGCTGAGCAGAACTGGCTCCCGTGGCAAAGCACGCTGGCACCGCCCCCATAAGGCCCCTGAGACAGGCACCTGAGGCCCCACGGTGGCCATGCCTCTGGTGACTGCAGCCTGGGGACAGCTGGACCTCACCCCGCCATGAAGACCCTCTGAGCAACCCCAAATTCCTGGCCGCAGAAACTGGAGCAGACAGTAAACGCTTGTCTCTTAAGCCCCCAAGGGTTGAGATCACCCTTGAATGTCTATGTAGGAGATGTCCCTGGCACAAGTGGCAAATGGAGCCTCAGAGATGCACAGCCACTGGGCAGGAGTTATGCAAGGGGCTGCAGCAGAACGGGGTGGGGAAGTCCGCGTCCTGTGACTCCCGACCACGTGAGTGAGCGCGGTTCTGTCCCATGACTGTGCAGTTCCCTGCCTAGCTCCAGAGCAGGGACCCTGGGGTTCAGGCACAGGTGGCACTGCCCAAGCCCCCCTGGCCTCTCTGGGGCCTGGACAGATATGGCTTCTCTGACCGGAAACCCGAGGTCGGGAGGGTGGCAGGGACCCTTCGCTGCCCCTGGCTCTGGCTCCAAGACGGGAGGAACAAGTCAGGAAGCCGGTGCTCCTCACCTGGCCCAGTGTCCAGGCCTCCACATGTGCCACAGCTGGACCCTGAGCCACAGCTCGGGTCAGGGCACAGGATCCCGGCCTTGCTCCCCACCACTGATCCTCGGAGTCACCTGCCACCTCCCCCCACCCACCCCCCCCGCACAGGCAGCCGAGTGTGACACACACATCCATCACGCTGATGGTTTTCAGACTGGGTTCCTTGGAGCCCTAAGGTTCTTCAGTGACCTTGGGGCTTGCGCTTGGGAAGAGTCGCAGGACCAGCACTGTCTGATTAAAGTGCAAAGTGAGCCACGTATGCGGATTTTAACTTATAAGTAACTACATCATTAAAAATCTAAGAACAGAGCCGGGGAGGTAGCTCAGTGGCACCGGCCTGCCTGGCAAGCTCAAATTCGATCCCCTGAGCTCGATCCCCAGTACTGGAAAAAAAACCCCTAAGAATAAATAGACGAAATAAATTTTAAAATATCTCCAGTCCAGTGCCTAAAGTATCATTTCAACGCGTGATCAGTGTGTTACACGCACTAAGAGAGCTCACGTTCTCTTTCGCGTGCTAAATCTTCATCTGGCGCGGGGTTGTATTTGAGGACACCTCACTTCCGGCAACCAGGGAGGAGGAACTCGGCCTTTAGGAAGAGACGACCGCCCCCTGGCGGGCAAAATGGGGAACTGCAGGGAGGCCTAGAGGATTCCCCGGAGCAAGGGGCGGAGAGCCCGGGCCGCTCTGCCTGGTGTGGGAGGGGTGGGAAGAGCAGCAGCGGAGGAATCACTGCCCCTGCGACTTCTCCGAAAATGGCTCCGTGTGTGTGTCCTGGGCATGACAGACCTGGGCTCCGGCGCCCTCCCCGGACTTGGAGTGACCTGGGCGCTGACCCTGGGCATTCTCACTTCCAGGGCCTCCAGGAAGCCGGTTGCCCGCTGGGAAGGAGGCCGGGCTGGGCAGCTGCAGGTCGAGGGCCCCGGAGAAAGGAAAGGCCGCGTGGGGACCCTGCGGGGACAGATCTGTGATCCCTCATGCCCTGGGAGCCGGGCCCGGCCGCCAGGTGGGTGCAGCAGGTGACTCCTAGCTGAGCCTCGCCTGGATTTCGAACCCAGAAAATCACGAGTAAGTAATAAAGTGGGGTGGTTTTAAGCCACTGAGTGCTGAGTTCGGAGCGGGTCTGCGGGCTGCACTAGATACGACACAAACATGGTATTTGCCTGACTATCTTCTAGGCTGGGTGAAGATCAAATGAGATAAACGCCCACCTGGTCCGCGCTGGTTGTGTCTCTTTGATTTGGGGACACGCCTAACACTGTTTCCGGGAGCGACTTTAGGATCCTAGTCAGAAGGGCAGGCACGGCAGGCCTGTGGCGCAGGTGGCTGTCCCAGCCTCGGGAATGTGCCGAGTAATTTTCTTTTAAATATTATTACTCAAATGGCAACAGACAATTTCAGGGCTCTGGCGGAGAATCTGAGGACCGCGGAGACGCAAGCCCGACCGGGCAACCCCTGGGGCCTCCAGGCCGGAGAGGGGACCGCCTCTGGGAGCCAGGAGTCCCGGCCGGGGACCGGGTGACTCGGGGCTCTCGGGCTGCTCCGGGGGCCTGGAGGCGCGAGGCCCCGGGCCGCAGCGCAGCCCCAGCCCGGCCCGCCAGCAGGTGGCGCTGTGCGCGGTCCTCAGACGCTGCGCGCCCAGGCGTGGGACACCGCGAGCAGTCCGACCCCAGGCCCGGCGCGGCCCAGACAGTGTTCCCAGGGGCTCCCGCCGGCGGCACGGCAGTGATTCCCCAGGCCCACCCCGTCCGGCCGGAGGTGCGTGCGGCACCGTGGCGGCGGGGCCGGGGTCTGAGCGAGGGTGCTGGGGCGCCCCGAGCGGGAGACGCACGCTAGCCGGACGGGGGGACGGGGCCTCCCGCCTTCCCAGGCCAGGAAGTGGGCCGTCCGGGTCCGGGTCGCTCCGCCTCGTGAGTGCAGCTCACGGTTCCGTGACCTCTGTCCCTTCCCCAGGACCACGGCTGCAGGCCCAGCGCCTCCCGAGAGGCCCGGTGACCCACGCGGCCGGCCCGACCTGTCCCTCCTGCAGCTCAGGCAGCCGAGGCTGGATGCCTCCCGATTGGGCTGCCTGGCGGGATCCACAGGCAACGCCGGCCTGGGCGCCCGGGTCACTCGGGGTGGGGTGACTTTTTAAAGTCCTGCTGGTCGGGCAGCACTGCAAACCCAGCAGAGACCCATTCCACAGTTTAAAGAGACCCAGGCTACCTTTTGCTAGGGGCTCGGGGCCTCCGTTCTTTGCACCAAAACGCCCATTTTTCCCTCCCAGGTACTGATGGAAACCAAGGGATAAGCATTTGGAACAGTCTAGAGAGCCTTGGAAGTAGGAGTTTGGTTTGTTGTTGTTTTTATTTGTTTTCCCTCCCTTGCTTTATTTTTATTATGGTAAGGGCCTTCCTCCCAAACTGAAAAGTTATACACGCCTACATTTTACTATTCCATCAAGTGCTCCTTCCCACTGCACTTACTACCTTCCCTGAGTTGACTGTATTTGAGGGGGAGAAAAAAGCCACAGCCAAAGCCACTTCATATGGCTGGGGGCTTGGGGAGCAGGAGGAAAACAATCTTTATTTCATCCCATCTACTGAAGACTATTTACTACATTTGAAATAAAACTTCCATCAATACAAAAAAATTGAATAAATAAATAAATAAAATTAAATTGAAATCCCAATAAATTGAAATCTTTGTATTTTTTTTAAAACCCGGCAGGTGCGTGTGTTTACTTGACATAAATGACGCTCTGCCGGAAATACAGTGCCAATACAAGTATTTTTAACTCAGCACAATATATTCTATGTAATATATATAACTATATTGTCACAACTATGCAGTGAGCATATTTCCAGTTGCAGCTTTGTCTTGCCGTGTGTGAAGGTGCCGTGTTTAATTCCCGCTCCCCTAGGGACAGACACCTAAGTTGTCTCCAACGCCATGAGTCCCGTACAGTTTCTCAGGATAAGGAAGCCAGGAGTGGAAATGCTGGATGGTAACGACCTCAACGTCTCCTTCTTCTTTTTAAATTTTGAGACAGAATTTTGCTACCATAAGTCACTAAGTTGCCCAGGCTGGGCTCAAACATGATCCTCCTGCCTCAGCTTCCCATAGTGCTGAAATCACAGGACTGTGTCACCGTCATGCCAGCTCATGTGCCTTAGTTCTTGGTGGCTCCCAAAGCCCTGGGAAGCACTCACAGCAGAGGAGGAGGCTGGGGTGCAGAGGGTTGGGGGGCTGACCCTCGGCCCCCCGGCCGGTCGTCACTGGAACCCGGGCGCCAGTGCAGGCCTCCTGAGCTCTCCTCCAGGTTCTTCCCACTCCGGTGCGCTGGGCCGTGGGTTGCTTCCGTGGAGACCCCGACTCTGACAGCCATGTGCGAGCCGCACGCTCTTCTCGGGGTGGCTCTGGCCTGTGACAGCACAGAGTGGTTTGTTGCATTTTATTTTTACTTCCTTTAATGTACTTTTATTTCCCTGGAGGCTTTTTTGACCCTAGGACCATTTAAAAGGATGCTGCTTCACTTTCAGCCACTCGCATGGTGTGGATCAGGCCCGGTGGGTCCTTTATTCACTGCTGTCGCTTTTTTCTTCACACCCTGCAGGCTGCGTGGGCCGGGAAGAGAATCAGCATCACTGTGGAGTGAGGGGCCTCTGCCAGCCAATCGTGCTGACATGAAAACACACAAAACCGCCATCCACAGATGTGCACACACGCACGCCTCGCCAACACAGCTTCAGCTCATTTGCAAAACCCAAAGCTGCTTGCAGGTGAGCTGGTGAACGAGAAGCAGGAAGAGGAAGCTCTTGAGGAAACAGTCAGCTCCGCCCCTGCGAGAATGAGGCCGAACCCAAACCGCAGTGGAAATGTCAGCACTGAGGAGGCGCATCGCGGCTTGGCTTGTGGTGGACCCACTGCATTTATTGTAACTGGGTAACCCGAGTCTGTCCTGTCCCCAGTCCCCAGCACCACTGCCCCATTCTAACAGGGTCAGCCAAGTTAATTCTGCTATGGAAAAGTGAAAGGAAAAGAGACACCATATTAAAGAATCTTACCACAGTGATATATGCACACCCATGTTCATAGCGGCACAGTGCATAATAGCTAAAGCTTGGAAACAGCCCAAGTGCCCGTCAACTGGAAACTAGATAAAGAAGATGTGGGTTTTTTTATAAAATGGAGTACTACTCAGCCAAAGGAATGAGAAACTAGAGGCATTTTATAGCTAAATGGATGCATATTGAGGCCATCCTCTTAAGTGAAATAAATAGGACACACACACGTGTAAATACCGAATCGTTTCTCTAGTGTGAGAAACTGAAACTGTAATTAAGGATTAAAATGCTTAAAATGAATAATGGATAATTTGAAATAAGAAGAAAAGGTCCAAAGGGGTTGGGGAAGTAGGAGGGGTAAGGGAAAGGAAAAATGAGAAATGGAAAAAATGGAAACAAAGTCTTTGTAAATAGGGAAGGGTGGAGGGGTGCAGGGAGGACAGGGAATGGGGAAAAAATAAGAACCAAGATGCATCATGCACAGGTACAAGCACCCAATGATAAATGTAAATGTATTGTATACCTAAAATGTACCAATAAAAGAATTTAAGCAAAAAAAGACTATATTTACTACAATAACAGAAGGAAAGCCCAGGAACTAAGGGTGTATGAAGTTGAAAGAGAAAGCCGGATCTGGGAGTCACACCCATGCTCCCAGCATTTGGGAGGCTGAGGCAGGAGGACTGTGTCAAGGTTGAGGCCAGCCTGGGCTGCATAGTGAGACCCTGTTGAGAGAGTGTGTGCAGTGAAGTAATTCAGTATCTGACAGAATATAATGCCCTGCTCAGCTGGTGTGTGCCAAGGTCCAAGGACATGATGTCTTTCTACTTCTGTGCCAAAATATAAACACACAAGGATGCTGGAGATCCCCATAGTCAGGTTCCAGTAGCCACCTGCCCAGTGTGTGATGCAGGCCTGAGAAAAAGAATACACTAAGAGACAGAACTAGGAGAGAAAGCGGGGCAGGATGACCAACGCTGGTGCAACCGACAAAGGCCTGGCCAGTCCCAGGCGCTGACTTTTATTGGCAATCAGTTGGGGTAAAGGTGATGTGTGGTTTCTATGGAAATTAATGTAAACAAGGCTCATAAAGAACAAGATGAGTCAGGAACAGAATAGACAAAATATATGGTTGTAATTAGAACACTGTCCTAGTCTGAAGGTTTAAATTGTGGGAACAGAATTTGGGTGTGAGATACTTTGACCTTGGCATGTAGGCTTCGGCCAGACACTCCTATAAACAAGCCAGTCATGGGGTTAACTCTTCACTGCCTGCCTTGGGCGTGATCAATATTACAGTCCTCTGCACAAGGATTTTAGAAAGTCTCACCCATCCATCTGAGAACCACCTGATAGTTTCATTTTCCATATTTAAATCCCCCTGGAACCTCAGCCATCGCAGCTGTACGACACATCACCATCCCAGGCTCCTCAGGTAGCGGCTGAAATACGGGCCTGCATCTCAGGGCTCCAAGCTCCAAATGTCTAGGGCGGGAGGCAACTTCATGTCCCTATTTAAGCCAAGGGCACCCAACCCTGAGACCAGGATTCCAACCCCAAGCCTACTGACACTTTGGTAATTCTCTTTTGCATTAGTTTTTCCAGTTTAAAAGAATTCCTGGCCTCTACTCCCAGTTGGGAAAACCAAAAGCATCTCCAGGTGCTGCAAAATTCCCAGTGAGAGCTGTTTATGTAGACCTATGTGTTAGGAGCAATTCTACATGATTTGGGCAAAAATCCTTTCACAATTAAATTATGATTAGGCCTAGTTTTCCTGCCAACAGGCCAGCTATGGCATGTACAGACATAACACCTTTTTCACCTCCAGTCACAGCTAGACCTCAACATCCTGTGATGCTGTGATGCTCCAGGGCAGGATTGCATCAGCTGAAAACGTCCTGGGGAGGAACAAATTCCTAATCAACATAAATTCCTGGGACCTGGGATCTTCATCTACATAAATTCCTCATTGTCCTAGGATTATCTTCACCTTCTGAATCATCTGTTTCTCCTGATATACTGAATAAAGGTGTGGCAAGCTCAGGGCTTTCATCTTTGTTGCCCAGAGCAGCATCAATCAGGCCCAAAGCTCAGCTTCCTCTCTAAGCCTCGTCTCCTTTCTTTATTAATTCACTTTGTGCTGTTGTGGCTCACAGGAGACCAGGACTCCCTGCAGGAGTTCTGGTAATGTCAGCTTTCCCTGTCCCCTACACCTACATCCTTATTTCCTGCTTTGGATGCTGTAACATAGCCGTGCCGCTTGGGGCCATGGCAGCCATCTTGTGGCCATGAGGAACAAGTGCCATGCTGACCGAGGTACTAGAGGTAGAAGGAGCCTTGGCTTTGGTGATGTCTCCAAGTTGCTGCTCCAACCCTAGAATTCACTTCCTTCTGTGATGAGTTGCATAAGGGAACCCAGCTGTGGCCTCCCGAGCCCGCCTAGCTGTCCCACCTGCTGGCATTCACATTCACGGCTCTGCTCCATGCCCATCTTTCCTCCTCTTCCTTCCCTCCTGCCCCTTCTCGCTGCTCAGGACTTAGCCCTGCCACCTCCTCGGGGAAGTTTTCCCAGAGTCCCTGTGTGGTCCCCACACTAGGACACACACCCAGACCTCAAGTGACCGGGGACTCCCTTCCAGCTGGGCTCCACACCTCTGCGATGCTTTTTAAATGTTTCTAGTAGCACTTGTTTGCAGCCAATGATGTCTACATTCATCTAGGGTGTGCATGAGCTAAACACAGCTTAACTGGGAACCCTGTCAGTCACCCACCCCAGGCACGGGAGGAGCAGTGAAGAGGGTGAGGGTGAACACGAGAGGTGAGCACAACCACTGGTGGGAGCAATTCTACATGATTTGGGGGGAAAATCACTTCATAATTAAATCACGATTAGGCCTAGTTTTCCTGCCTACAGGCCAGCTATGGCATGTCGAGACATAACTCCGCTTTCTCCTCGGTCACAGCTCAGACCTCAGTGGTCAGGTGATGCTATGATGCTCCAGGGCAGGACCACACCAGCTGGAGACGTCCTGGGAGGAGCCAAATCTTCATCTGCACGGTTCCTCATTGTTCTAGGGTCCTGGCTGCCTCCACCCCCAGTCCTTTGCTACTTTTGTTTCCTCTGATTACTAAATAAAGGTGTGGCAAGCTGCAGGTCTGGGGTCTTTGCCACCCAGAGCAGCGTGGATCAGGCCAAGGCTCAGCTTCTTCTCTAAGTCTCATTTCTGTCTATATATTAATTAATTCACTTTGTGCTGTCCTGGCTCCCAGGAGATTAGGACTTACTGCAGAGGTTCTAGTAATGTCCCCTTTCCCTGTTCCCTACAAACCAAGGCGGCACATGTTCAGTTTTTTTTAGTAAAAGTCACATGGCCACGAGTGCCTCTCAGAATCCCCCCCTCACTTCGCACACACTCATCCCATCCTCTTAGGCCCTTTCTGTAGCAGCTGTGGAGTCTGATTTCTTCAGTGTCTTTAACTGCGCTGTCCAGGCTACCTTGATGTCCTGAATGGATTCAAAATGCTGACCTTGAAGAGCCAGGAGTCACCTGGTGCCAGATCCGGTGAATTAGGTGGGTGGAGACACAGTGTTGTGTTTTTACGAGCTGCCTTTCTGTTGAATGGTGCTCAGCAACAGCAGTCACTGTATCTTTTATCATACTTCATAAAGACACTCAGGAAAGAGGACTCCAGAGCAGCTGCAGGCAGTGGCTGAGATGGTGGGAAGAGGGTGTTCAAAGCCAGGGGCAAGATTTTGATGCCTAATTCCAGGCCCGTTCGGCACCCACCCCTGGGATCAGGGACCCTTCCCAAGCGCCTCCAGCAGGCCTGGGGCCCCAGCAGGGCTCTCCCCCCTGGGACAGCCTTCACCCCGGAGAGGGAGGCCCGCGTGGCGTTGGGACAGCCCAGGCAGCCTCTGTGACCCCGATGTTCAGGGTGATGCCTCTGCCCAGGCCGGGCCCGGGGATGAGAGCAGCCTTCCCAGGAAATGGGCTCTGCCGGAGAGGGAAGTTTCGCTGTCACCCAAGCCCGAGGGCTGCCCAGGGAGTGCTGGCAGCAGCCCAGAACAACCCAGCCCAGGTTTAGCCGCGGGTGAGTGGGGAGTTCCCTTTAGTCTGCAGATGGGAGCAGAGGGAGAAAAGGTGCCTCTCTCCTGACCGCATCAAAGGGAAGATACCGCTGAGGTCCTGGGGAGCAGAGGTAGCTGAGGGGCTGAAGACTCTGGGTGGGGATTTCCCCTAACCAGCATTACCTGTTTTCTCCATCACTGTGTGACAGCGTCCGGCATGAAGAGGCTTGAAAAGAAAAACCATTTCATGACATCTCACAATTGCGTGACTCTGGAACTGGGGCAGCTCGTGTCTGAGTAACTGCTCTGTGTGGCACCATCAGAAGCTCCACAAGGACCTGGTGGATGGACTGGTCCCGTGTCTGGACCTCAGCAGGGAAGGCCGGCGAGCTGGGCTCCACAGGGCTGCACCAACATGGTGGCCTCCACCAACATGGTGGCCTCCTGTGTCCCACAAGGTGGTTCAGAGCACTGAGAGAGA